CCCCAAAACCCCAAAACCCCACTAGAGAGATTTATTGAAGTTAAGGATTTATAATCAATGAAATTAACAAATATACATAAAACCTTATTATATTCTTTAAATAATACGCAGATATTTATGTAAATTAAGTAATAGAAGTAAATGCTCAATTTCTTGAATGTTTGATTGACAGATCTTTTATATTTATTTGCTGTAATTTACTATATAAATACTTAGTTTGTTGCTTATCGTTGAGTATTCTTCACTAATTTTTGCTTACCAGCGGTATTACATCTATTTACTTTCTTTGAATATTCTGTATTTTATTTTTTAATTTACTAAGGTTAAAGGCTTCTCTTCGTTCTTACGTCTCAAGAATCCTTTAGTTTTTATCTTTGATTCTATCATTTATTTTTCTGTCGTTTAATTCTTTAGCCGCTGAGAACTGAGAGATTTAACTCTTTAATTGTGAAAGTGAAAACTAACCAAGCTCACTTATAGTCTTCTCCTAGTCTGAGTAAATAGAGTTTTGCACAGCTACATTATTAGGTTTCGCTCTTTTAACTTAGAGTTCTCTATAATTTTTGAAAATTAGTTTCTTATAAAAAGGGTTTGTAGATGCCTCAGCTATCTCATTCTAAATAAACTATCGACGCTTAGCAAGTTTGCGAGACTGACTCATTTTATTGCCATCAGAACTATCATTATCAATTTCAGCCTCCTTTTCCTGCTGCTTCTTTAAAAACCTTTTTTCCATTTCCACATTAAAATGAAGATGGACTTTTAAAGTACATCCCTCCTCAGAGAACAATCCAAGATAAAGATATTAAGTTTCAAATTTTTTATTAAAGATTCTCTCTCCATGAATCAAATGTTCAGGCTATAAATTTCTGTTACAAAAGCTTAAATCTTACTCTTATTAACCTAATCTAATGATTATCTGTATTTGGTTGCTTATTTTGTGTTGATAGGAATAATACCATGTCACTGGCATTGTAAGGTCTACCATCTTTGAAATACTGAAACTTTATCATTAAAGGAGCAAATTTTTCAGTTATTTTAATTCGGCAATAAATCATAATATTTGCCACAACTTCGACCTCATTCCATTCATCATTCAAATTTATGTGAATATCGTGACCTTTTATCGATCTTTAGAGATTATAACATATGCTTTTAATTTCTGATTTGGCTTACTGCAATAGATGTGTAGTTTCATTACTTCTTCTTTGCTCTATCTAGTCATATCTATATAAATTAAGTTAATTATGAAATGAAGGTACTATGTTTTGATAGTCTCAAGAAATGCAACTTTTTCGATTTACTCCTGTACTATTGAATTTTCTAAAATCGTGAGTGTTGATAGTTTAGTCTTTTTATTTAAGTAACTGAGCGGAGACTTTGAAAGACTCTTATCTAAGCTTGGTAATCTAGAATTATCATTAAGCATATTACTAAGCTTTGAGGCTTGTCTACTCTTGCTAGAGAGGATAAAACTTTGACTTTAGTTCAAAGTCGTAGAGTGATGAAGAAGATTATGAAACTATACTGTTTTTGTTTTTTAGTTGGTAGCATCTCTTGATTATTATGCCCTTTCAATTAGTTGAGACAAAGGTCTATTAATTATTGGGGTTTTAGAATTTGCAATGATAGAAGGAGATGTATTCGGACTGTTGCTTGAAGTATTAGTCGACTAATTATTAATGGTGTTTGAGAAATTTTGAGTTTTTATCCTTAATTTGTTGTAGAGAGGGGGCTTTTGTAATATTGGTTTAGTTAATGGAGTACTAGAATTAGATTAGGATTAATTCATTATGGATTTTAATAATAATTCAAACGAATCATCATCTAAGATTACTTTATAATCGGGATTCTGGGGTTTTGGGGTTTTGGGGTTTTGGGG